CACTGCTTCCAAGGTTTTTTTCCACAACGTAATGCGGTCGCCGTCGTGCCGTCTGCAGCCGCCGCGGGCTGGCTCCTCTCGCTCGGGAATGGGCGTCGAGGGCTCCCGCGTCTCTCCGTGGCCCGGAAGCACCGCAGTCCGTGGATCCCTCCCACTGAAGGACGCGTTGGTGCCCCCGAGTTTGGGCCATTTAGCGCGAAGCTGCTCTAGACATTCACGGGCAGGTTTTTGTGTGAACATGCTCTCAGCTCCTTTGGGTAAATGCCAAGGAGTGTGGCTGCTGGATCACACGGCAGAGGTGCAAACCTTCCCCCGAGTTTCCGGGGTCACGCAGGGAGGGGGGGGGAGGGACTCAGCTGTCCAGGCGAGGCTCCTGCTTTGCCGCCCCCAGCCTCGGTCCGACCCCCTTCCCTGCCACTCCGCTCCCTCACGTGATCTTCCCTCATTCTATTTTGGAAACACTGGCATCATCATAAAGCTCCAGGAATTCAGATTTACTGCTGCGTGTGAATCTCAATGTTGGGGAACCATTTAATTTTCGTTCTTCGTTCAGTGAGAACATGTGGGGAAATGGCAAACACAGGGCATTTTGTAGTTTATCGCAGTGTCCAAAGTGCCCACACTGGTTGGCTAAAGGCAAGAGGCTTCTGGGCCCGGAAAGCACAGGCCCCGCCAGCTTCGGGACAAAGGCCTTGCTTGAGTCGATGGAGCACAAGCGTGGGAACCCGGGACGTTTGAGGCTGTAATAACAACATACAGAGCCCCAAGTGGGCTTTCTGCAATATATGTACTGATGCTAAAATAATTTTTCCAGATGGCTCGGGACAGTCATCTGATAGAAATGAACAACTGAAGTAGCTAATTTCTCTCTCTCTTCTTTAAGTACTTGGTGATGGATGTGCAGCTGATGGTGGGAGGGAAACACCATCACTCGAACCTGGACCCTGAAGAGTACGTGTTCGCCGCTCTCAACATCTACTTGGACATAATCAACCTTTTCCTTTTCATTTTGCAACTGGTCGGACTGGCGCGGTAATCCACGGCCAAGGCTGGCCCGCGCCGACGGGAGGGGAGGACGGTCACTTGCGCAAGTGTCGCGAGGCTCAGACACGCAGAGGTGGCCACTTCCTAACCCCTTTTATTCAAAAGAATATTTTAAAGTACTTTTTTTTTTCCTCCCCTTTTCCCAAATGAAAGCCAGCATCCAGCAGATGGTAGCTGTCGCTGTTATACTTTAAGTTCCATTGTCACGTTGCAGAACTTCCTGCGGGACATTTCTGATTTTTATAAACTCCAAAGATGAGTAGCAAAGTGCCGTACTTACAGACATTTGTAAGACGCCTGTTACCTTGTTGACATTTCCCTGGCACTAGTGAAAGCTGTAAACAGCGTCTCTCTATATGAATAAAGCTGATTACAGAAACCTGTATTTATTCCATCTCTTCTCTCGCTTCGGACGTTCTGTGGGAATCTTTTGGCACAGCCTGGCTTTAAGGGTCAGATAAGCCAAAGTGCTCAGTCTTTCTCCTGGGCCCCAGGGTCGGACTGGAGAAAGCAACAGTCCCCACCTGCTCGGGGCGGAGAGGATTAATGAAGTAAATGTACACGAAGGACCTGTTATTCCCACCGCCCCACCTCTACTTGTGGGCGTAACGCAGAGACCACCTCCTCCGATCGTCTGGGACAACTGGCCTCCTTTGAAGTCCCATAATATTAAAAAAATTCATTTCAATTTTAACTGTGATAAAATACACGTAATAAAATTTACCATCTCAACCATTTTTAGGTGTACAGTTCAGCAGCATTAAGTATACTTACAATACTGCGCAACCGATCTCCAGAAGTCTTTCACCTTGCCAAATGGAAACTCCGTGCCATTCACCACCAAGGAGCCATAGATTTCGCGCTGACTTTTTATTCACACACATAACCTGGTTGATGATGTTGCTGAGGGACACAGACGGGGCGGATCTTTACAGCACGGGTGAACTGTGCAGGGGGGAGGGTGGGGAAACTAGGTGACTCTTCTGGTGTCTTTCAAACTATTCATCATACAGCTTAACGCCTGTATTTAACCAAACCTACAGATCCCAGGTAGGATATCTGAATTTAAGCACAAGCACTATAGCCACACGCACCTGACTATCTGATGACCTGTCAGTTCAGTTAGCCCTAGCTCCACAGCTCTGGTGGAGCGTCTTGGGTTTATAATCTCATTACCACCAGCAAAGCCCTGAAGATGGGCACCACCTGTTGAGATGTGAGCATGAAGAACAGAAAGGGACTTGAAAGCCATCCAGCAAAAAACCTGGGAGGACCCTCCAAAGTTCTGGGTCTGGATCTCTTAACAAGCATCATCACTGTGCGTACACCTGTCAGAGGCCTTGGTACCCACGTCATGGAGAATTAATTCCACACAGGAAAGCAAATTCAGCCTGAAAGCCTGAGGTTTTGCTTATTCTCTGGGCACCAAGAAAGTCTTCCTGCATATAATAGGGGCACGCTGGCCAAGTTCTTTCCCCACTCAAGTTCCTGCTGTCCCAGCACCACAGTGGGCATTTCTGTCGTCTCAGCAACGTTCCCAGCCACACCCCCCCCACTGTGTGCGTGTACTGTTTGTGCCCTCACATAGTGGCTATGACTGGGTGAAAAGAAATTCTAATGCTTCTATGACAATCTTTTGATTTCTGCTTTTAGTAAGGACTTTGAGCAAGACACACCTCTTTTTTTTTAAAACAATGTTTTTACTGATTTCTTAGAGAGAGGAGAGGGAGAGAGAGAACTATGGGTGGGCTGCTTCCTGCACGCCTCCTACTGGGGATCAAGCCCGAAACCCCGGCATGTGCCCTGATTAGGAATTGAACTGATTAGGCACGCACAGGCTCAAGGAATGTGAACGGCCAAAGGGCTGTGGCATATTTGACATTCCTGCCAAGAAGGAACGTTGGCGGTTTCAGTATCATTTGCTTAACCAAAGTCCTTGAAACAAATGAACCAACTGCTGAAGATCTCTTCAACGGCCCCCACGCTGTAGCACTACTAACAGCTCACAATGTACTAAGGCAACACTGACCTGATTGTTCTAAAGTCGGGGTCAGCAAACTATAGTCCGTATGCCAAATCTGGCTTATCTTTTTAAAAAACTTTTTATTTTGAATTACAGATTTACAGGAAGTTGCAGAGATAACAGAGGCCCTGTGTACTCTTTACCTAACCACCCCTGCAGTGGTTATGTCTTACAAAATGTACAACATACAAACCAGAAAATTGACATTGGTACCATATGTATAGTTATTTTATCACGTGTACATTCATGTAACAAACATACAGACTATTCCATCACCACGTGGTCACATACATACCTCTCTGCCCCCCCCCCAACCCCTGGCGACCACTAATTTGTTTCCATCTCTATTATTTTGTCATTTAAAAAATGTTACATAAATGGAATTACACTGTGACATTTTAAGGTTGGCTTTTTTCACTCAGCATAATGCCCTTGAGGTCCATCTAAGCTGTTACAAGTTGTGTCAATAGTTCGTTCCCTTCCATTGCTGAGTAGGGTTCCTTTGTATAGATATAGCACAAGTAACCATTCACCTGCTCCAGACCATTTTGGTGGATTCCAGTTTTTGGCTATTGCAAGTACAGCTGCTATAAACAATGTATACAGGTTTTTATGTGGACCAGGTTTTCACTTCTCTGTGATAAATGTCCTGGAGTGCAAACGCTGGGTCATGGTAAGTACATGCTTTGTTTTTTAAAAAAACCAAGCCCGGGTGGCTGTCCCATTTTACATTCCCAACAGCAACGTAGGAGTGATCCAGCTTCTCTGCATCCCTGACAGCATTTGGTGTTGATACTATTTATTTTAGCTGTTCTGGTAGCTGTGGGATGTGTTTTGTGGTTTAAACTTGCATTTCCTGATGGATAGTGAACATCTTTTCATGTGCTTCTTTCTTAACCATGATCATCTTCTGTGAAATGTCATGTCTTTTGTCCATTTCATATTGTATTTTTTTTTACTGTTGAGTTTTGAGGAGTTCTTTACATATTCTAGATATGTAGTTGGAAAGTATTCTCTCTCACTCTGTAGCTTGTCTTTGCATCTTCATAAGGTCTTTTGCAAAGTTTTAAATTTTGATGAAGTCTAATTTATCAATGTTTTCTTTTATGGATTATGCTTTTGATAAGAATTTGAGAAGAATTATCTGCTTAACTTATAAAGATTTTCTATTATTTTTCTAAAAGTTTTGTATTTTACATTTAAATCTCTTATCCATTTTATGTTTTATATAAAGTACAAGGTTTAGGGAGAGGTTCACATTCTTGCATCTTAGAACCCACTGTTGCAGCACCATTTGTTGAAGACTATCCTTCCAACGCATTGTCGCATCGCTTTTGCCCCTTTGTCAGCATCAGCTGATGACACCTGTGTGGGGCTGTTTTGGGTTCTCTGTTCCATTTAGTCCATCTGTGTGTCTATCCCTCCACCAGTATCATAGTCTTGATTACTGTAGTCTTGAAATTGGGTAGAATGACTCCTCCCACTTCATTTTTATTCTTTAAAATAGTTTTAGCCATTTTAGTTGCTTTGCCTTTCCATATAAATTTTAGACTTCTCTTCTCTATAGCTGCAAGAAGAGGTTGCTGGGATTTGGTAGAAATTGCTGCCGAGTGGTCGAACCTAGCCCAGGCACCTGTGAACTGAGACCCCTAATATACCAGTGGCTTTATTTCAGGCAGTTAAGTTGGGCACAAAATATCCCCTAAAGGGGTAGCTACTATTTTTTCATGTAAAATTAAGATACTGTTATGGTCAAGCTAGCTGCACTCCCAAACATACCATTTCTGTCTTACTTGCAAGGCCTGCTGGGCCCATGTTAATTCTGCAGTTGCAGTTCACCCACCCTGCAGTGGAGATGTCACGCCAGGTGACACACAAGGCCTCGTGGGTCAGGTGTTCAGTTTCAACGAGCACCTAGGAGGTTAATGGCTTCCTTTCCACAAAATGGGTGAACTTCCACGGACACACACAATTGTATGGGGAAGGCCTGGGGGTGGAGCGGGTGGGGGGTGAAGA